CATTATTTGTTAAACCGAAGGCTTAGTGCTAGGTATGATTTGTCGGATATTCTATGATTTGTGTTAATGCAGGATGAAAGGCCACTAAAGCTTACTTCAATTTATTTACTTAAAATGTGAATAATCAATAAGGAATAAGTAGTAGCCTTTATTTCTCCCCAGTGCGCAGTTTAATCCTTTGGTTGATTATGAAGCATTAAATTGTCTTGTTTGGATGCTTTGGGAACAACTGGATGCCGTCTGTGATTAGTGAGTCTAGTCTAACGTATGTGCTGTTCTGTATACGGCGTTTTAGACAGCCCTGCATAGTCTTTCAGTCCCCTTCGTGTAAATTATGTACTAAACTGCATTTTTTTTCTCAAGTTCACAGCGTTGTGTGCGGAGACAACTGCTAAATTCACTGTTACTTCATTCCCACATATTTTTTGAAAGTTCCCAAGATTTTTTTTAGCCTCTGCTATTTTATATTTTGCTATTATAAAGGAAATTAAATATGAATCACAGTGCACTTCAGCAAAGTACATGTGACCCTTACAGACCGAATGAATAAACACACAAATGTCTCCAGGCGTAGTCTGTCTAGAGACTTCAGTTTATTTGATTCAACATATTTTCTCTCTGCCAAATCGGATTGACTTTTAAAGCATAGCCTCCACCATAATAGGATATTTACGAGATAAATTCTTGATAGTGAAAAATAAGCACTTCCAGGGAGGAGTTAATAGCTGGCAGGTAGATAGGTGAGTGTCAATTGCGCAGGAGAGCATGATTGCCCATAATGTAGGAGACTCACTCGTGAGGGGCAGAACTGCTGATGCCCACTCTATGGAGATTCCATTATTGCATTTAGGGAGACATCTTTTAGGCCTGTGCTACTTTTCTTCCTCTCTATTGGATTTCATGTGGATTTATTACCTGAAACGCCTATTTAAAATGGACCATTAGGAACATGTGCTGAGACCCATAGGACTTCAAGAAAAAAAAAAGTGCACACCTAAACACGTATTCCTTTAAAATATACTTTTAGGGAATTTATAGGGGCCCTAAGAGTGAGAACAGCTGAGTTTAGGCTGATAAAAGACACAAAAAGAAGATTCAGGAGAAAGAAGATGATATCATCGCTGAGATAAGCAGAAAGCTGGGAAGGAGAAATAGCTAGGTTCAATGTGATCACTGTTTAGACGTTGGCTGGGGCACGCCTGCTTTCAGTTGGACAGCTTCTCCGGTAGTTCTAAGAAAGGACTTACTCAAGATTAGTTGTAAAGATAAAAGCAAGGTGGAAGTTGATCATATGTGCCGACAAATAATATAAAAAGGAACCAGTCACACTTAGAACATTTGTCTTGGAGCTGTAAAGTGGGGCAGGGGGAAAGGTATGTATGAAACTTTCAGTTCTACTAGCCGTTTCATTGCTACTTACTAAAGTAGACTATGGAAGTGCCCAGAATTCAGAAAGGAGCATGGAGCATGTTAAATGTGGATTTTTGCTCCAATAAAAACCCTCTACTATGCAATCAGGAAAACAACTTTGTGCACCGATGCTTCTCAAATATTAATGTATGTGTGACTCAATGGTATCTTGGTAAACATTTAATAAGAGGTTCTTGGAAACAAGTTTGAAGTGACATCAACACTCCATCATGGATGGCTTCATTTCCCAAAGTGATGCTACTGAAGGCAGAGCTGGGAAAGAATGCTCACAATAGGCTCTTTTAGGGTTTCAGCTGATGCTGGGACATTGTAAATCACGGTGTGGGGGGGTGTCTCATTTAGATGGATTCTAATTCACTGGGTCTGGGGTGAAGCCTGAGAACTTTTATGTCTGAGAGCCTCTCTGGTCATGCTCCGGCTGCTGCTGTTCTGTATACAGTTGCAGCAACTAGTAGCTGTTGAAAAGGGAAAAACGTACTTCCATAGAAAACAATTCCAGCTGCAAAACTGTCATAACGATATGTAACAAACACGTTGAATCACATAATGCGATCATATCCGCAGCACATCTACACGTATGGTGAGTTGGTACAAGCATAGTCTGTAGCAATGAAAAGAAAATGAAACTATTTTTCTCCCTTTTAAAATTACTGGAGTGGTGAAATTCTCTCCCCCTCAAAGTAACCTTAAAAATGAACTAAATTAAAAAGCATACTCTTGATTAGAGAGAATAGGGTATGAATTTTAATAGTAGAAACTCGAAACTTGATTTGCAATTAAGTCTTCCTTCTTTCCGCTCAGGTGGTTTTCTGGTGAGCAGCCTGGCCCTGGTTAGGGGTAGAGATGGCTTCATGACCTCCTCCTCCCTATCTGCTGCTTGTTAGCCCTGACGTCCGGTCTTTTTGCAGTTGGTATAGGTGGGTTGGAGAAAGGAGAGGGAGGGTGTATGGAGCTGGCTTGCACCTCTTTGAAGTGCCATAGGCTGATTTCGGTCCCTCATGGCTGACTGACAGATGGCCGACTCATGACTCTTGTGTGTGACATCTTCATTTCTTGGGTTTCTTTACTGGTCTACCTCAGTGTAGTGGTTTGAATAAGACTGTCCCCTGTAGTTTCTATTATTTAAACACTTCATTTCCAGTTGGTAGTGGTTTCTGGAGAGGTTTGGGTGATGTGGCTTTGCTGGAGGACTTATGTAAGGGGTAAGGGCTGATTCTAGATTCAAAGCCTCTGCCATACTCTGTTCTTTCTGCTTGCTTCATGCTCACAGTTGAGGGTGTGAGTGCCCACCTTCCTCTTCCATCTACCATGCCTGTCCCTGGGGCCATGACCTCTGGTCATGATGAATTATTATCCCTCTGGTAGTAGAAGTCCAAATAAACTCTTTTTTTTTTTTTTTCCTATAAGTTGCCTCAGTCACTGTATCCATCACGGCAATAGAAAAGTAGCTAATAACCTCAGCACGTGAACACCATAAAAATTTCAAGACTACCTCCAGTTTCTTGTTCCTGAGATTCCTCTCCCTTCCTAGACCTCTAAGACCATTTCAATCCTACTGACTTTTTTTTTTTTTTTTCACAAAAAATTTACTCACGTGTAGGCCTGAACAATTCACCATGTTCAGGCCAAGTTTTGCACAGCCCAATTCCCTAGCTTTCCTCCAGGTATTTCAAGCTCTGTTAGGAGCTACTGGGAGAGCAGCTGTTGAAGCTGGGGCTCCCTGCCTGACACCTCCTTCAGCAGCGGGGTCAGACAGTTGCATCGTTCCCCCCTTGGGTGTCTGTAGACATGCAGCATGTCAGATTGCTTTCACACTCCCCTTCCTCTCCAGCTTGACTCTCATTTTCTTTCCCGCTGTAGTTGAGAATTCTAAGAGCTTTGGAGGATGTTGCCAGTCCTCTTCCACTATTTTTAGAAATACACAATTGAGTTAGGCTACTCCGTCTGGTCAACCAGGGATTGTGAAATGATGGAATAATGATGGCAAACAGCCCATCATTGCTTTGTTAAGGCTTTTCCTGAACTTATGAACAAGGCACTCTATTCCTAGGCATTTGCGTCCTACCCGAAAAAGCATAGTAGAACTTTAAAATGGGTATTTTATAGCATTTTCCTTCCTGTCTTTTTCCTTCCTCCCTCTCATTGGATACAGGGGAAATCTGGCTTCCCTCTTGGAGTTTCTAGTCTCATTAATAAAAGAATTTAAGAGTGGACTCAAATAGAAGCTCCAGAGTAATTTTATTAGAGTTAAAAAAAACCCTGCATGGTTAGCAAGCTGTAAAACTCAGCATTTTCCTGGAGAAAGAGAATGGAGGAGAGCAGGGGATAAAACTAAAAAGTCATCCTGGAGGTTAGACACATGGGTAACAAGCAGCCACATGGAGGGAAGAATGGCTTTAGAGAAAGAATATGCAAGCCCCAAATAAGGAGACCCCAAACTATTAAAGGAAAGCACGCTTAAAAAAGTGGTAGAAAGAAGAAAAGGTGATGTTATGCTTTTCTGAATAATTAAGAAAAAATAAGAAGACTTATGAAGCGGCATGATGTTCACTGGTAAGCTACTGGGGCAGGGGTGGGGATTCTGGGCAGGAAAAGTACAGAATCTTATCAAAGGACTAATTCTTCCTCTTTTTAGCATGGCCTCAGGTGAGCCTGCCTTCCCAGGGAATGCTTTTTGGCTAAGAGTTTAATCTGACCACCCAGGCCAGAGATCCTATTCTCCTGACTTTAGTATATTCATCCATCCTTGCTCCCTTAATCACTAATTGAGACTGGGAGAATAAATTGCAGCCCTGATTTCAGCTTTTAGTGAGGTGGTACAAACAGAATGAAAAAAACAAAACAAAACGAAAAACCCAAAACCAAACAAAAATAAAACACCCCCCCCCCAAAACCCCAGAAATGTGTTATAGCAATTCTGGTAAGGATAGATAAAAAAGAGAAAATAAATAAAACCAGAGGAAGAGTTTGATACGGCAGTTACTGTGGCAGATTGGAGTAATCAGTAAATGTCTCTTTGAGTAGAGTTCTCATAAAGGTGGGGAACGGCAAAGAGTATTCCAGAGACCACTAAAGGCAATAGCCTAGAGGGAGATGTTATTGGTTTATTTTGAGAAAGAGCAGAAGGGCAATGAATCTAAACAGGAGAAAGGAGATAGAGAGATAGTTGGAGAGAAATTTGGAGACATAAAGGGTAAGATAATTGAGAGTATAGAAGGTATTAAGGAAGCTGGAGAGATGACTCAGTGGTTAAGGAAACATTAAAGATATAATTCCAATTCTCATGGGAAACTGTTGAAGAATTCTACCTAAGGGAATGACATGTGACTCATATCTTATAAATATCATTTGATTTTTATACAGAACAAACCAATGGCAGCAAAAATGAAATAAAAAAAAAAGACTAGTTAGAATGTAACTGAGGAAATTTAGTAAAACATGATGGTAGATTATGGTAGAGAATAAATGGGAATTATTGGACTGGCTTACATGATAGGGGCTGACTAGTCCAGCCATGGCTGTGTGCAGCAAGACAGAGAAACTGGTAGCTGATGAGTTAAAAAAAATAAAAAAGATTGGAACGCTTCACGAATTTGCATGTTATCCTTGCTCAGGGGCCATGCTAATCTCTGTATCTTTCCAATTTTAGTATATGTGCTGCTGAAGTGAGCAATCCTCACTTAGAAAGACAAATGGGATGGGCATTGGAAGTAGGAGAAAACAAGTAACAGGACAGGAGCCTACCGCAGAGGGCTTCTGAAAGACTCTACCTAGCAGTGTATCAAAACAGATGCTGAGACTTATAAGGAAAACTTCTGCAGAGTGCAGGGAATCATATGAAAGAAGGGGGAGTTAGTATGACCTGGAGAGCACAGGAACTCCACAAGGATCAAATATATCAGAGCACAGGGGTCTTTTATGAGACTGTTTCTCCAACCAATGACCATGTATGGATATAACCTAGAACCCCTGCTTGGATGTAGCCCATGGTAGCTCAGTATCCAAGTGGGTACCCTAGTAAGGGGAACAGGGACTATTTTTGACATGATCTCAATGGCTGGCTCTTTGACCTCTCCCCCACTCCCCGAGGGAGGAGCAGCCTTGCTAGGCCACAGAGGAGGACATTGCAGCCAGTCCTGAAGATATCTAATAGGCTAAGGTCAGATGGAAGGGGAGGAGGACCTCCCCTAGCAGTGGACTTGGAAAGGGGCAGGAAGGGGACGAGAGAGGGGGGTGGGATTGGGAGGGAATAAGAGACGGAGCTATTGCTGGGATACACAGTACATAACCTGTGATTAATATAAAAAATGAAAATTATAAAAAAAAGATTGGACACCTCAGCACTCCCAAAACAGTGCTGAAAGCCTAGAAGTTACTGGTGTTGAGTCTATGTTAAAAGCCATGCAAATTGGGATCTGGTGTCAGAGAACAGTGGCAGAAACCATCAATACACGCAAGTGTGTACACTGGCCTCCTCCATCTACCTTCTGAGATCGACCTGACTATCCTTGTTGGGATTGTCTGATTGCACAGTGCTGCTCACACAGAGGGAGTGCTCCCACCATTGTTTCACATGTCAAACCTTCCTGAGAGGAACCCTGCAGACAGGCAAAGACACATTTTACTGCTCCCAGGCATCCTTTTTTTTTTTCCCCAAATGGGTCAAGGTTTATTTATTATTATCATTTATTACAATTTATTCAATTTGTATCCCGGCTGTCGTCCCCTCTCTCCTCTCCTCCCAATCCCTCCCTCCCTCTTCTTCCCCTATGCCCCTCCCTAGTCCACTGATACAGAGGTCCTCCTCCCCTTCTATATGGCCCTAGCTTATCAGGTCTCATCAGGACTGGTTTGCATTGTCTTCCTCTGTGACTCAGGCATCCTTTAATCTAGTTGACAACAAAGACCAACCATTACAGTTACATTTTAGGATCTGTGATGATTTTGCTGTGCAAAATATGTCAGTATTGGCAGTTGGGTACATGAGTCTGGATTGGAAAAGAATGTGAATGTATACTTTGGAGATTAGAGTATATTTACAGACCTAGAGAAGCTAAACAACAAGGAGGACCCTAGAGAGGATACTTAATTCTCATTCAGAAGGCAAACAAGGTAGACACTGGAAGTGGTAGAAGAGAGGGAACAGGATGAGAGCCTACCATAGATGACCTCTGAAAGCCTCCACCAAGCAGAGGATCGAAGCAGCTGCAGAGCTGCTTTTTTGGGCCACAGTGCAGGGAGCCACATTTTGGGCAGAGTGCAGGGAGTCTATGGAAGAAGGAGGATGTAGGAATAGAAGCACTGGGAGGGGACAGGAGCTCCACAAAGAAACCAACAAAGCCAACAAATCTGGACCCAGAAGGGCCTGCAGAGATGGCTGCATCAACCAAGGACCATGCAAGACACCCTGCTCAGATGTAGCCCACAGACAGCTCAGTCTCTAGGAACAGGGGCTGTCTCTGACATGAACTTGGTTGCCTGCTCTTTGATCACTTCCTCCTGGTAGGGCGACCTTGCCAGCCCACAGAGGAAGAGGATCCAGGCAGTCCTGATGAGACTTGATAGTCTAGGGTCAGATAGTAGGGAAGGAAGACTCCCCCTTTCAGTGGACTAGGGGAGGAGGTTGGGGGGAGAATGAGGGAAAGTGAAACCGGGAGGAGATGAGGGAGGGGGCTACAATTGGGATATAAAGTGAATCAATTGTAAGAAAAATAAAAATAAAAACCACCACCACCACCACCACCACCAACAACAACAACAACAACAAAAAAAAAAAAACACAAAAAGCATGAAATACTACAGTGAGGATAAAGTGAGAGAAACGGAAATGGAATTATTTCAACAGAGGAGTTGAAATTAAGTCAAATAGCTACACAAGCATTGGAGGCCGACCGAGCTAAATGGAAACATTAGGGAATCCTGGATGCGATGAACAAGATCCTGACTCATAGGAGTTGAAGACTAAAAAGGGAGGAGTGGGGATTTTAGGTGAGAAAAATCCTCCGAGGGGATACTCAAACTGCAGATGAAGGATGCAGCCTGCCAGATAGATGCAGCTGCTTGTAATGGGGCTTGGTGAGGCTAGCTCAGGAAACCCAGAAATAAACAAGCATCACAACATGAAGAGGCAGAAGGAAAGTAAGGCCTATCTTTGTGATGATTGGTGATTATTAGTCTGTGAGATTGGAGGAAAGTAGGAGAGCTACTTGGAAACTTAAAAATATACATGCATGCACGCATGCGCACACACATGAATTAAGGGGGAAGAGGAAGAATGGAAGAGAGAGGGAAGAGGGAGGGAGGAAGGGAAAGAGGGAGGGAGGAAAGAAGAGAGACAGAGAGAGAGAGAGAGAGAGAGAGAGAGAGAGAGGGAGATTTTGTCAGTCAGGGTCCTTATCCCCATTACTGATTGCATTATTTGAACTACTCTTCACTTTCTGAGTTCTTTGTGTATTCAAGATATTATTCCTTTGACAGATGTAGATGTAGGATGGTGTTTTTTCTTCCATCATTCTGTAGGGTCTGTACATGATTGTTTCCTTTGCTGTGCAGAAGCTTTTTAATTTCATGATACTAGAGTAAGAGGAAAAACATTGAGTTCAAGAGAGAGAGAGAAAGGGATAATTTTAAGGGGGAAAAACCTAAGAGAGGTGAAGGACACTGCATAGAAAGACATTGGAGACATGGATTCTGACAAGGGAGTGAGTGCTGGTTGGTTTTTGTTGCAGGAAGAACAATAAACATCTCTTGATTGTTTCAAATTTCCCAATGGATTACAATGTAACATCACCTGCTAAAAGTTAGGAAGGGGGAGTCATGGAAGTTAGAAAAATCTGGAAAATTATAAAATGCTCGTTTTTGAGATAGAATGACGTAATGCAAACTTAGTGGTCACCTGAGGGACAGATCGGGAGAGCCACTTAGGATGAAAAAAGAAAAAAGTCATGGTGAATCTGCATAAAATGTAAAACTTGTAAGCAAATCGATTAAATATGAACACAATGCGTGAGCATACTAAATGCGTGGGATGAAATATTCTGCCATCTTTAGCACCCGAAAAGGGGCCCACTCTGACCCAACATCCAGAAAAACAGACAAAAAGCTTGGGAATATATTAACCTGACAGAAATCTATTCTCCACCAATCAAAGGGCTAAGAACATTATCAGATGACAGCTGAGGCCTGTCTGCCTGGCTGCGACCTGTTTCTCTGCTGAACCCACCAAGGTATTTTCAAGTGGCCTTGATTTGTGACTTTGTTCTTCTACTGTAAAACTTCTGGAAACTCCTTCCATATTAGAACCTGGAACCCAGTTCTCTGTTCCTGGCCCTGGGTTACTCATATTTGCTCCAAAATAAATCATCTCTTACTCCCTTTGAGATGAAAGCTGTAGTTCTTGTGTGTGTGTGTGTGTGTGTGTGTGTGTATATGTGTGTGTGTGTGTGTTGACAACTATATTCAGCATTGTTTGTCATCTTACCATGAATCTTAAAAAAGATCAGCTAGCACTTTTGTATGTCTGCTTTGGTCCCTAATGCATTCAGATAAAAAGCCACAGCACTCTTCTCTCATGCTACAAGCCTGACATAGGCTGTATTTATGTGATCCATAACCTCTTTATTCAGATTAAACAGGCATGTGTTTTTGAGTGCTGCAAGGGAAGAGGTAAAATGTTTAAACATATATGATTAGCAAAATGGTTAAGTGAGATTTTAACAGGCTTTCTTAGTTCACATTCAGTGACCAATTTATTAAAGTAGACCAAAATGTATGACATGCAGAAACTGAGCAATCATTTCTATTAGACTCACTACAATCTACTTACTACTATAATGAAATTATTTGTTTCCATCCAAAATCATGTTCATACTTGCTATTGTCAATGTAAAAACTGCAGCTCTCATCTTAAAGGGAATGAGAGAGAGCTTATTTTAGAGTCATTTTGAGTGACCTGTAGCTCAGAAGCACAGATTTAGTTCTAGTATGTATGTATGTATGTATGTATGTATGTATGTATGTATGTATGTATGTGTGTATTTATGTTTTGTTTTGAGACAGGGTTTCTCTGTGTAGCTCTGGATGTCCTTGACCCTGCTCTGTAGACTAGGATGGCCTAAAACTCACAGAGAGGCCTCTGCCTCCTGAGTTCTGGGATTAAAGGTGAGTACCACCATGGCCTTGCCTCATGAAGTTTTGTAATTTCAAAGAACAAAGAAAGTCATACATCAAGGCAAGGTTAAAATACATTGCTGAGTAATCAGAAAGGTAGGTGTAGTGTGGGAGGTGTAGGTGGGGGAAGCTTTTCTATAGCTCCAAGATGCCATCTGATGACAGTCTCAGTTTTTGAATTGGTAGAAGCTAGTGGTCTGCTAAACTCATAGATTCCGAAAGTCTTTAGTCAGGAGACCTTAAGGCTGTTCAGGAGGGCTAGAACTAGCCCAAGATAAGGTAACTAGCTCCTGGACCTGCAACATTTCAACCTCTCCACAGAACTTAAGCTCTAACCAGTCAGTGATATAGACAGACTTCTTTTCAGTTTTCTTCACACTATCATTCTTAGAATGACAGTCAAAGATCAGGAGTTAGACAGATAAGGAATAAAGGTGGCGAATTTCCTGGATGTCAGCCTCTTTCTCGCCCTCCTGGCTTGACACAGAAGCTGGGCAACTTAAA